CAACAGTTCACAGTGACAGGACAAATCTGCTGCCATCTTGCTCTGCTGTGGGCTGTTGCTTTCCAGCGGCTGGGGTCAACCTGACAGGCTTCCAAGTTTGACTTCAGTGTGTCTTTATGTCGTTTGTACTGGTCCCCAGGAGAACAGCGCTTTGCTTTAGCTGGCTATAAAATCTGGCCTTGGGTAAGCATCGTAAGCAAGACTGCCCGATAGTTATTTAGCTTGGTGCTTCCCTTGACAGAGGCAGTGGGATGGCATTCCCAATGCAGAATGTGGGCTGTGCGATGGGGAATCCCACGTTCAATTATGGCATTCTGTGACCGCGTACTCCTTAGGTAGCAAAACTTCTCCACGGACCTGAGAAGAGCGTGGTTGATCTCCATGACTGGGTCAATGTGCACGTCCCCTAGCACAGGCTGGTCCAGCTCTTCGGATCGGAGTTGCGTTGCTGACTCAAGCTGCGCTGGGATTAGATTCTAGTGGAAAATGTGTGCGCAGTTCCTGTCCCACTCTCTCATCCATGCGAGCCATGCGCGGCCTGGTGCAGAATTGTAACGAGGAGAGCGACACACATGGATGCAGGGTTAAGTTCGGAGTTCCGTCTCTTAGCAAATGCTGTTGACCCCTCATGGTTTCTCCACCTTTCCAGAGTTCCTTTGGCAGGGCAATCCCGTGCCCCTCTAGGCTGTAACCGGCTGCCGGTTTATTTGATTGCAGCCTGCATTCGCCGTGTCCAGGACCATCTGTGGCATTTTACAGGGGCACCAGCTAGTTTAGGGGCCAATAGCTGTGAAGCAATGTCAGCTGCTTGAGTATTTACCCCAGGTCCTGGGTGGGTGAGGCTAGTCCATGCTGCCAGTGCTTCTCTGCTATTGTTACTCAAGCTAGCTTCGATCTAGATTAACGCTAGCTTCGGTGTGTCTACGCGCTGCAGTCACGCCTCTTGGTAGACAGGCCTATAGACGTGGTTACTTTTAACTCTCGAGTCTCCAGGGGGGTGAGCTATGGTCTCCCTTCTGCAAGCGTCTGAGGAGCAGAGATGGGACTGGCCATGTGATTTCAGACAGGCGGCGAGAATGGAGTGTTCCCCGTTTTCCTTCTGGATCGGACATTTTTCTTGTAACCTGCACTTATTCATCCTTTTTTCCCCTTCCCATCCCAGCCAGGCCATCCGGGCTCTGCAGGACGAGGTCTCGCGGCTTCGGCAGCGGCTGGAGGAGAGTTTGCACCGATCCCGCAGCTACCCAGAGGGAAAGTCGTCCCCACGCACCGCTAGGAGCAGGAAGCAGCCCCTGGGGAACGGCCCCTCAGTCCGGAACTCAGGCCCCTTTGGGTAGGTGCCAGTGTGCGGCATAACGTGGCCTTGTTGCCTATTGCGCCTTTCCTGCAAACTCTGCCAGTGGGAGTTCAGTGACATAGGCTGGCCGACAGCCGCCTCCTTCTCCGGTTCTCTCCGGTCCCCGGGGAGATTTCTGCCCCCCCGGTGGAACTGACCTGTTTTCTGCTGAGACTTGCAGACGTTACAGGGAGGCTGTTCCAGCCGGTGGGAGCTGAGTGCGGAGAAGGCTCTTGCTCCAACAGTGGTGAGGGGGTGTGACAGGTTGGAGAGGAAGTAGTGCCAGGCAGGTGGAAGTGGGGAGTAGGGAACGCCAGGTGAGAGACAGCACGGGGGGGTCCCAGCCTCGGCTGGTGCTTTTGGGGACACAGGGGCCGTATAGCTCCTGTCGAAGCTAGTGGGAGTTAGGCTCGTGTAATGCTGACAGAATCGGGCCCTTTATCGCACGGTGAAGGGCCAGTAGCTCTGACGGGGGCCAGGTGGGGTGTGGGCCTTTTCCCGTGCAGCTTTCTGGGAGACTGACAAGCTTCCCCTGGGTCCTAGGAGTGGGCCAGGCTCATTTCACCCATGTGCAGACCACACAGACAGCCAGAGCCGCAGAGGGTGACAGATGATTGCGTTAGTGCCCTGAGTCCCCCCAGCAGTCCTGCCAGTCTCCCCACGGACCCCGTCTGCAGGCTGTAAGCACAGGGCAGCTCGTCCTCTCCATGCTTCAAGGCAGAGGCGGTGACTGTCACTCGGTGCAAGCAGAGCCCCCGCAGGGCCGGGTGGAGGGGGTGGTTAAAACCCTCTGCACCCAGAACCGGGGTGCTGAGCCCTCGACTTCACGCTGTGTCTGTCCCTTTCCCAGCGAATCCGCAGAGAGGAGCCCAGGCGAGTTTGGGGAGCCGGCTCCAGCGATCAAGCCAGCGAGGCGAGTGAGGTCGGCGTCGCTCCCTCGGGATGGGCCTGAACGGGACCTCAGTAAGTAGACCCGTTGGAACCTACCCCCTCTGGGATCAACCCAGATCCAGGAGCAAGTACTCGGGGGCAGCAGACTGCAGAGACACCAGGATCTGCTTTTCCTTCTTTGAATTCCCCCTCCTAAAAGGGATTTTCAGGCGCCCTTCCTATGCGTGCAGGAGGTGAGAATTGGCACTCTGTGGTGCACACAAGTGGGCACTGAGACCAGCACCCTGGGAACGTTCGTGACAGGCAGGCTCATGCCCAGATCCAGCCCTCCTGACCTTTCGGAAAGCTGGAGTCTGGACCTGGATCCAAACGTGTGCCCAGCTCTTCACGGTCATTACCCTAGATCCTGTGGTGTTTCATTCACATGAGGGCCGGTGGTTGCTACAAGCGCAACTGTGGTTGCGCGACCCACCTGCGACTCCCTCCTCTGACCTGGTAATGACAACATACGCTTGAGTCGGGTTCGCACCACGGCACCACACCTACCCCGCCCCCTAATAGCTCTTGTACCAGTGCATGCTGGGAGAGTGTGGTGTTTAGATGCTGCTTGTATTATTAGAACTGGGAGCACTGGCTGTTGGGAGTCTGAAAGGATGATACAACGGGGGGAGGAGTGGAGGAGGCTGAGTGAGGGTTACAGAGGGTGCAGCAGCAGCTTGGAAAAGAGGTTTCCACTGTAAAAATAAAGTCCTGTTGAAGCTTGTTAGTACCTTGCCTGCTTGATACAACAGAGAGTCAGCTATCCCATAGTGCCTAGAGAACAGGTACCCGGAGCAGCACCCCCAGCACACGGGGCAATGCACTCGCTGGTTAGAAACTCACTAGGGAGGTGTCTAGCAGACGTGACTGACCGTCTAATCGGGTGTTCTCGGTGTTCTGCAGCGTCGGAGTCAGACTGCCCCCCGCCGCGGGCTCGGGATGGGAAACCCAGGACAAGCTTCTCCTCCAGGCAGAGCTCTCCGAGGCCGCTGACATTCAAGGGCCATTACACAGGTGGGTGAGCACGAACCAGGCCCTGCTCGGCCTTGGTGCCGCCTCTCTGATAACACCATGGGCCACCCTGTGTTCTTAAACTGGATCTCCGCTCTCTGCCCCATGCACACGCTGACTTGATGTTATGCTTACCAGCAGGGCCGGCTCCAGGGTTTTGGCCGCCCCAAGCAGCCAAAAAAAAAAAAGCCGCGATCGTGAACTGCGGCGGCAATTCGGCGGGAGGTCCTTCACTCCCAGGCGGAGTGAGGGACCGTCTGCCGAATTGCTGCCGAATACCTGGACGTGCCGCCCCTCTCCGGAGCGGCCGCCCCAAGCACCTGCTTGACAAGCTGGTGCCTGGAGCCGGCCCTGCTTACCAGGCAGGAGGGAGCTTCCTCTCCCAGCCATGTGAGCGCCACCGCTCAGTCCCCCCCTCTCCTCCTTCCCAGCTGGGTGCCCTCCGCGAAGGGTGCTGAGCCAGCTCTTGTTGCATTCTGCAGGGACGCGCTACCACTTATCGGCCCCTGTGTCCCCAGAACGGAGGGAAGACACGGGCCCCACTTCCTGCCTCCATTGCCAAGGGACCAGGACACAAGCTGGTAAATATCCCATCTGCTCATCTTGGGCCAGACCCCAAGGAATCACGCCTCGGAGCTGCTTTGCTTAATATTTACAACCTGTAAAATAACAAGATTTTGCACTTCATTAGCGTCTGCTCCCTGAGATTTCTGAGGGCTTCGCAAATACCCACTAACGAAACCATTAGTTACTTAAGGCCTGAACCAATGAGATAACGAAGCCTCACACCACCCCGATGAGAGAGATGCAGAGATCATGCAGATGTGTTTTGGGTGGAATGCGCTCTGAGAGTGGTGAGAGGGTCTCAGAGCCAACCTCGGGGTGGAGGGACCTCCTTCGTATTGGAAAAGGTAGGAGCCGGTTCCCTCTGCAGATTGTGCAGAAGCAGGACTGGCCCAGTAGTCACTCTGACCGTGAGATTTGCAGATATTGGGTTAGGTTGTATCCCTACCACAAGAGAGCAGGCTAGTACAGATCAAAGCATGTGGCGTCCTACACTGCTGGACTGTTAACTCAGCCCAATTGCACATATGTCGCTTGCTCTCGCCTTTGTTACATGTGACTCTGTGGATGTTGTTCATTATTACGGAAGCACCCCACATAATCGACAGGATGGGTGACATTGTCAAGATTAGGGTGACAGCCCCTGTGAAAAAACGGGACGGGGTGGGGGGTAATAGGCGCCTATATAAGAAAAAGTCACCAAAAACGGGACTGTGCCTTTAAAAACGGAACATCTAGTCACCCTAGTCAAGATGAGGCTGTCAGATCAGCCATAATCCTTGGATTTTTCTGGCCTTTGTTGCAATCTTGCAGTTTTCCCATTGTGCTAAAGCCAGTTGTTATCGTTTGCAAGCTCTGTGTTCTAACCTGCTTTGTTCGTCGTGTTTCCCAATGCTAGCAACAGACGGCACATGAAGAAACGACCAGCTTTCCGGACTAGCAGCCACCTGTATTGAACCATTTAACTCGGCTAAAGATTAACTTGCATTTAGCACCCAGCGTTTTGAGTCCATTGCATGCAAGTTGTGATCCCCTCAGGTGCTTTGCCTGAATTTTTGCACATCCAAGGCTGTTTCCCTGCAGCTGCTGAGGGCGCAGTCCTGTCGCTGATAGGAACCCACAGCTGAGCTAAAGGTGCACGGTTCTATTTGCATGTTGTGACCCAGCATTCTTTGCAATCAACTTTTTAGTTTTTACTTTCTGCAAATTGCCTTAATCCAAACAGCCTGAAACCTCCTATGGACTTCTACAGCCGTTTGGCGTTTAGATCTTTGTGGAGTTACTTTACTCACTGTTTGTCCTCTGTGTTTTTTAGGCAATGCATCAGCAGGGGACACCGTGAGACCCGCTCAGCATAGCACTCCAAAGAAGACGCACTGTCCAACCTGCAACGGGACCAGGAGCACCCCTGTTTCTAAAACCAGGGACAAAGCAGCACATGGTGGGTGACCAGTTTCGCTCTGTTTGAATGTTTCTGTTCTATGAAGCGCTGCTCTGCCTGAGAAGTGACCCTGGTGAATGGTTCCCATCTAGCAGAGGGACATACTGGCCAAGGCCACGCTGAAAGCTGAATTCAAAACTCTGCCGTTCCAAAAAGGAGGGTCTGCAGAGGATAGCAGTAGAGCTCCCAGCCACGCTAGTTCCAGCGTCAGCCAGCTGGAGTTGCTATAGGTAATGGAATTGGAGTGCTGCAGCGCCAGCCTCTGCCAGTAGGAGTCGCTGTAGGTAATAGTATTGGCACGCTGGCTGTATCTCACAGCTGCTGCAGGCCCAGCAGTGGCTGGGAGGGAATGGAGTGCTGTCTGGGAGAGCTCAGAGGCGTCCGCGTAAGGGCTGGAGCACTGACAGCGGAGGGCCTGACACTTGCTGCAGTTGCAGATCCCAGGGCCGGGTTTTCCAGCACAGCGGCTTGCAGGTGTGATTCATCCCAGGGAGTTATTCCAGTAGATTGAGGGGTGCATCCCCTGCTCTCTCTTTGTCCTCAGGCCAGACTCGCCCCTGGAGTCAGTAGCGTAGCACCAGGGATGGAAGTAGCCTCGTGGGTTTCCTGTCCATTCATGCCAAATACCAGGGTGTCTCTTACCATGTGTCGTTCTTCTCCACAGCGACAGGCCGCGGCACAGAGAGCGCCTCACCTCAAGGCTCCGGCCTCAGTCACAAACCCGAGAAGCCGCAGCAGCCTGGCCTCTGGTACCTGGCGGCCCCACCCCCTGGCACAGCTGTCAACTACATCCCAACAGTGCCCCTGGTGCCTTACTCGCCCTCTGTGCTGTAAGAATGGCCCACGCCATGTTGGTTGGGGTTACCATGGGGAGGGGTGTTCAGAGTTTCCTTCTGGGATTGTGGGAGGCAGCCTAGGATCTCTAGAGCCAAAGCAGAGCCTGTGGAGGGGAAAGAGAGTCCAGCGGTTAGGGCGCTAAGTTGGGACTTGGGAGAATGGTTTTGGTTCCCTGCTCTTCCACAGATATCCTGCGTGACCTTGGTCAAATCACTTAGGCCCAGATTTTTAAAGCTATTTAGGTATTGCTCCACGCAGCGTTGCCAAACCTAAGTGATTTAGGCACTTAGGAGCTTCATCTGGAGCGGTGTGTCCCGTTTTGGGCACCACACTCTAAGAAAGATGTGGACAAACTGGAGAGAGAACAGAAGTGATAGGTTTGGAAAACCTGACGTCTGAGGAAAGGATACAAAAGGGAGCACGTTAAGTCTAGAGAAGAAAAGGTTGAGGGGGGCATAAGCCTTCCAATATGGAAAAAGTTGTTCTAAAGAGGACAGTGATCAATTGTTCTCCAGGTCCACTGAGGGTAGGACAACAAGTAATCAGCTTAGTTTCCAGTGTGGAAGATTCAGGTTAGATATTAGGCAAAACTTTCTAACTCTGAGGGTAGTTCAGCTCTGGAACAGGTTATGGAACCCCCAGGGTTTGGAGAACAGGTTAGACAAATGCCTGTCAGGGATGCTCTAGGTTTGCTTGTTCCTCCCTCAGCGCACTGTATTTAGTCTTTGTTGTTGTTTTTTTTCCAGCTACTGTTCTCCACCAGCACCTACCTCAGTCCCCGGCCCAGATGGCCTGCCTGCCCATTATGCCAGCCCGTACAGAGTGGCGGAGCTGAAGCCCTGGGCCACCCGGCAGCAAGCCCATGGTCACCACCACTCCCTGATGCTTGACTTCGACGACCTGGAGGACCTCAACTGGTCCCTGAGCCAGGCCGTGGAAGCGGCCAAGAGCATGAAGCTCACCACCAAGCAAATGAACAGGTCGCTGACCTCTGAACTGAGCAAGGCCAGGCGCCTGAGGGGATCCTGCCTCTTCTGACAGAACCGGGGGACGGCTTCCTCTGGGGCCTGGCGGGGACAGTTTGAGCCGGCAGGCTGAGCCTCTCCAAACATCTGGAGATAAGCCCCCCAGCAAACATCTGGGGAACTGATTTGCCAAAGAATGACTAGACTGTCCCTCAGCTTCCCCCTCCTTCCCGTGGGGCTGCAGAGCCGTCCGCTGGCGCCTGAGGAGCCTGTGACACACTGGAGTCTCCACGCGGGATCCGCGTTGGAAGCTAAACCTGCAGAGTCTCTCCACCCTTCTCCAGAGCCCCCTCAGCCCGCATGTTACAGTTGCCTTAAGCCTCAAGCCTCTCTGCTCAGCAGGACCAGAGCTGCGGTTGCACTGGGGATCTCACCTGCCCCTCTCCGCTTGGCCAGTAGCTTTCGGTGGTTGTTAGTTTTCTTAAAGGATCAAATTTGAAGACGAAGGAAGACAGAGAAAACCTCGGGACACGTGACTAGGCAGCTGCCCTGGCCTCCCAGGGGCCTGAGACTCGCACTTTAGAATCCCCCCGGCCTCGTCCCCAGAGAGCGCTCTACTTTTAAGTAACGTTTTAACTCCCCTTCCCCTTCTCCCCATTGGCCAGCTTGGAGATGGACCCCGGCCAATGGCTTACCATCGCACTGTGAGTTCCCTCCCCTAGCCCTTGCAGAAATTCCCACTTGGGCCTTACCCCGCCTTGCGTTGCTAAATCAATCCGTTTCCCTGTGGCTCCGTCCCAATACACCACGTCGTCGGGTTGCTGTGGCACAGCCTAGCTGGGACAAGCTCGGTTTACAAGCCGAGTCTTTTCTAGCGTCGCTCTTGTTTTGTGTAGGCCCTATCAGAATAAGGGTGGAGCTCCCTTTGCAGCAAAGGTTACCTCCGAGTGCTTGTGCCACGGACAGGGTACCGATCTCTGTTGTTCTACATTCATCGCAAAGGGGAATAGAGGAGGATCAGGTGTTTATGTGGAATTTTATTGTTTTTCTGGCTGTTGTTGCTGGTGTTATGTTGGCATCGGAGGGGACGGGAGAATCGAAAGGGCTTTGCTTCCGCAGTCTGGAACTCAGCTTGGCTGGGGATTCAAGAGGCTTGTTCACCATCTCCTCTTTCTCTTTCTCTATCATCTCTCCTCCCTGTCTGCCGTTTCTGGCTTTGCTGGGAGGGCAGAGGAAGCACAAACGGTCAGTTTCATTTTCTGTTTCTAAGGCCTGATCCTGAGAGGCATCGAGCACTCTTGCTTCTCCTTGAATTTGAGAGAAGCCACAGGAGCGCAGCACCAGCCGCGCGGTTATCCCCGCACTGATTCTCCTGGGCTAGCCCAATGCTGCTGGTCCGGGAGCTGGCCAATGCGGCGTTAGTTTTTGTTTTAACCTTGTTTTCCTTGGCACTTATTTTGAACTCTCACAACCATTTCTATGGAGATGAACATCCGAACCTGCAATCAGATCCACTAGGGTGCAGCCCCCTCCTCCCTTCCCCCCCTTGACAAGAGCTGGTAGAAAAATATGTAAGTACTTGTCACTGCAAGTGTTCATTTTCTCGACATTTTTTAGTGAAAAATGTCAACATTTTCCCACTTTTCACTGGAAAAAATCTACAGCCGGAAATCTTTGTTTTTGGTTCTTCCCTCTTTCTTTCTCCTCCTTTCTATGTTGCCACTGAAGAGGCAGAGGAGGAAGGAAAAAAGAAAGCAAGTGCTAGAGGGATCAATAATTGAAAATTTTTAAGCAAAAAAAAAAAAATCTTATTCAAAAGTTGGAAAATTACAACCACCACATATCTGCAAAATGTTCAGTGGGGGGAGCGGCGGGAAGGGAGGTGATTTTTTCATTGGAATAAAAATTCAGATGAAAAAATTTCCGCCACTCTATTGACATCAGTAAGGTTTTTGCATGGGTGTAGGAGTCTGTCTTTCTGTCCATCAGTCTGTCCGTCCATTCCCATAATAACCATCTCTCTATCTATCTCTATCTAACTATCATCTGATTTCAGGATTGTCATCTAGGTTTGTAAATCCCCTACTTAAAAAAAAGTTTGAGCCAAAATTGGACACTGTCCCTTGAAAACCACAGACCTTTCTGCCAACTTAGATTTAGGGTTTGGCTTCTATCAAGCTGTTTGATCCCCTTAAAGAAGCGCCTGTTTGCATGTTGATATTTTTAAGGGAACATTTCTCATTGTGGTAGCTGATGAGTGGCTAAATCACTCTCTCTTCAGGTTTGTGTGTGTGTGTGTGTGTGTGTTATACACACATATATAAGATAATTATTTTTTCAACATAATCCTTAGGGCATTTCACTTTTTACATGTAATTTATTGTTTTTTAAAAACTGTTCCCAGTGTGTGTGTGCTTTTAAATCTGCGAGGGGTACTGAGCAAATTCCTCTCCAGCCTATAGTGGTCCTTGTCTGTGCAAATGGTGCATATGGGCTGGGGTCAGAGGGTCACCCAACCAATCAAGCCTCCTTGGTAAAGGTAGGAACAGGCTCCCTCTACAGTGCAGTAGCAGCCAGTTGCTGATCTGATAATAGGACTTGATCAGGGCTTTGCAGAAGGAGAATATAGCACAGGTACTGTTGAGGCTGTATCCTATTGCCAGGTAGCATGGATCAAAGCACGTGCTTGGAGAGAGAGGAGGAAAACTTTGAAGAGAAGGTACATCCCGACATTGCTCCCTATGGTACGTCATGCTGTCGAATTTAAAATGGAGCTGGCTGTCCACAGACTAGATTTAACTCTCAAAGGCTGTCCTAGCAGGGCCTTTTCCTTATTCCAGCTTGGGTGACTGTTTCTTGAATGAGTCATTCAAACTCTCCCAGCAAGAGTGGTACTTACTCTAGTTTCCAAATCAGCAGTGTAGGGAGAGTTCGACCATCACTTTAAACACTGAACTGTCTGACCCTCAAGTGCCATCTAAAGCCCATGAGGAGATGGAGCCTGGGCGTGGGAGTTAAGGTCACTTGAGGCTTGTCCACACACAGACGTTGCACTGGTTTAACACCATAGAATCATAGAATATCAGGGTTGGAAGGGACCTCAGGAGGTCATCTAGTCCAACCCCCTGCTCAAAGCAGGACCAATCCCCAACTAAATCATCCCAGCCAAGGCTTTGTCAAGCCGGGCCTTAAAAACCTCTAAGGACGGAGATTCCACCACCTCCCTGGGCAACGCATTCCAGTGCTTCACCACCCTCCTAGTGAAATAGTTTTTCCTAATATCCAACCTAGACCTCCCCCACTGCAACTTGAGACCATTACTCCTTGTTCTGTCATCTGCCACCACTGAGAACAGCCGAGCTCCATCCTCTTTGGAACCCCCTTTAGATAAAACTAAATCCCTATGTGGACACTCATTGATCTTGAACCAGGCTTGTATTGGTAAATTAGAGGTGCCAGGTAAATCACAATAAGTTGTAACCTGATTAGAAGAGTGTGTGTGTGTGTACGTGCACACCCTTGCCTTGGTTTAAAATCACACCTTTAGTCAAACCAGTGCAGGCTTGTGTGCAGACAAGATTTTCAACAGTGACTATTGATTTTTGGTGCTCAACTTGAGACCCTTTAAAGACGGCTGAATGTCAGAGGGCAGGTTATCAGCACCTCCAAAAATCAGCCCCCTTTCAGATGACTCAAGTGGAACATCCCAAACTTAAGGCACTCCTAGTTGCTTTTCCAACTCTTGACCCAGGCCTTAGCCTGTGGGCTACCGCGTACAGAAAGAGTCAACATTTTAGCCTCTGTGAGAGGTAATAACCTCGTCTTTCCCCATCTCCGCTTAGGGTCTGTACCTCTCTCCATGACACAAATGTAACTGCACACAAACCATCTGTCATCAGGCCATATCTCAGAATCCCTGCTGAAGACCAAACTCCCATTGACGTCAATCGGAACGTTCTTGGGGGAGAGGGTTAATCTGAGAAAAATCATGACGTAAAGGGTTTCTGGAATTGATCCTGTGACTTTGTTTATAGGTAGGACCTACCCCAAGTGCCCCATTTTAAAAAAATTATTTATTGCTTCATTTTTTTTAATATTATTATAATCGGGTTGTGGCTGTTTTTAATGCACAAGGCAAGTTATGGGGTCTCACTCTCAGGGACCTCACCGAGCCACTGAAATGATGTCCCATCACAGACAGAGCCCTGGAACAAGGGGAAGCTGTGGTCGATCCATAAAGCTTCATGGCTTGCATCGTGAAACTCATCTCAAACAACCGCTGACAAAAAATGGAGTCAGAGCTGGTCTGCTACTAAAGATGAAGGGCAGAACTGAGCTTTGTTCAGTGGGGGATATTTTGGGGGCAGTCTCTTAAGATTAACCTCTTAAAGTGTGTTTGTGTGAGAACCTCTGTCCATAGAGACAGCGGAACCCACTGACAACAACCTCGGCTATATAGTGAGGGATAAAGAGAGGCCCCCATCTCACTGAGCAACATTGAAATGTGAAAGTTTTGCTTAGAATGAAGTTGTTCTGTGTGTAGGTTTTTTTTTTTTAAAAAGACTGCTAGAAGAGGCTTCCATTTGATGGACCAAATTCAGGCCTGGTTTTTAAGGGTGCAATGCCATTGACTTATAAAGGAATTGCACACACCGCTTTGAATTTTGCACATGTACTTGTTTTCTTATCGCAAAGCTGGTTGTACTGTGGCCCAGAGCCCCCGAGCTCTTGAAACCAGGACACTGTGATTAATGCATCCTCGCTGGGAGGACACAAGAAGTCCGGGTGTGTGCGTGTGTGTATTTAATTCTAGGAACTGCAATAACAAGAAGTGACGGTTACATTTGCAGCATCTCCCGGTTTTGTAATGAACTAGCAGAGCCATTTGACAGTATTTTGTAAGGAAATAATTGCCTATTTTTTAATGAAATAAATTGGTTTGTTTTTCAAACCAAGTCTCTCTTGTGTGTTTTGGATACAGCCCTGAGCTTCAGGGAATCCAGCCTTCCTAGCTAGTTATTACTTATATATTACCACAGTGGCTGGGAGGCCCTGTTGTGCTTGGGGCTGTACATACAGATAGTTAGAAACAATCCTGCCTCAAAGACCTAAATAGCTAAGACAGACAGTGGGTGGGAGGGAAACGAGAGACACAGCGAGGAGAAGTGACTGGCCAAGGCCACCCAGCAAGTCAGCCACAGAACTGAGAATAGATCCCAGGGCTCCTGAATCTAAGGGCCCAGCTTTTTCATGGTATTTAGGTGCTTAAGGATCCAAATAGATACCGACTGGGATTTTAAAAAGCATCTAGGCACTTTACTCCAATGGGAAGTAGATGCGTAGATGTTTTTGAAAATCTCACTAGTATTTTTAAAAATCTGGCGTGCAGTCCATGCCCTGCCCACTAGACCATGCTACCTCTCTTCCAAGCTTTAGCTTCAGTTTGGAGTCCCCAGTGGTAAGGCTACTTCGCTTCCAACTCCTGATTGCGGGCCAAGAGGCCATTCTCGATTTGTCCCAATTCTCCCCGGTGCTGCTGAGATCAGAATCTGAGCCACCCAGTCACCTTTGCAAGGCTGGTATCTCTTAAAGAGACAGCGCAAGCAAAGGCAAGCCTAAGGTATGTAGGTTCCTGGATGGGATTGGAGGTACTCTGGTGCAGACTTTTCCATCGCTCCCAACATCCTCCATGCATCCACCGTTTCAAAACTAACCATGCTCCCTTGAGATAAAGGGATGGAAAAGGACACCCAGGCCACCCTGATTATCCAGAGGTCGCTGAGGGCATAGAAACCTGCAGATGTTCAGGAGAGCCAGGATATGGTGTGTTTTGACTGTAACCCAACGATCGCAATGCCTGGAAATGTGGGGCAGCCAGGAGCTGTGGAAGGTTCCCCTATGCCGCAGTGGCAGAAGAACCTGAAAATGGTCATGCTGGGTCGGACCAATGGTCCATCCAGACCAATATCCCATCTTCCTATAGTGGTTGGTGCCAGGTGCTTCAGAGGGAATGAACAGAACAGGGCAATGATTGAGTGATCCATCCCCTGTGGTCCAGTCCCAGCTTCTGACACGCAGAGGTTTATGGATGCTGAGAGCATGGGGTGGCAATGTCCCTTGGTCTCATCGTCCATTAGGATAGCTGCAAGGGTGGTGTGAGGCCTCCACCAGCTTTGCCAATACCTTGAAATGTGCAGGCACGAGGGCTAAGCTGCCATGCCCGGCTTGCACTATGATTCGCTCAGTCTGGACCAATATCCTGCTCGTCTGCACGGGTGCTTGCCTGGGGGCACACCAGCTCCTCAGCACATTAGGGGAACACCTTGGCAAATGGATAAAGGGGCCTAATTCTGCAGCACGTGGCCAAGGCGTCCAGTCCTTATCGTACAGCCTTCCCCCAGCACCAGGGGCTTGTATTGGACAGCTAAGCCCATCCTGACCTCATCTCGGATCAGAAACTACCACAACCCCAGTGTGTGTTGATCCCCCAGGCCCTTCTGCCTGTTAAACCATAGGGAATTGGCTGGAAAATGGGATGGGGAGGCAGGGGAAACGGCAAAATTTGCCTTACATTTTGTAATCAAAACTTTGTTTATCAATTTTTCCAACCAGCTCTAATAAGATGAACTGGCCTCACCGCAGCACAGGGGACAGGCAGGAAGGTGGTGCAGGGAGCCCTCTAGCTAGCGGATTGCGTGTGCAGAGACACAAGACTTACCAGGCCCTGGGAGTTCTGGCACTCACGCAGGTGGGAGCTAGGACTCGCCATATAACAGCTCTGCCCCGGGGAGCTCTGGAACGGCTACCGAGACATGCTCCACAACCTCTGCTTTTCCCACTCCGTGCATCTGT